TCAGATCGTCGGGTGGCGCGTCGTGATCGTCGGCTCCTCCTGCTAGTCGCTGCTTCTGTCCGGACTGGTCTCGGCGGCTTGCAGTGGGTCTGGCTCATCGGGTCAGTTCCGGCGGGTCGGGCTCGTCGACTTCTGTAGAAGATTATCGGGTCTCGATTACCGATGAATCTTCTACTGTATTACTCAAACACCCCTCTTCAACTTGTACCAGTGGAGCAACAAGAAGAACATAAAGCTCAAATGAGAACTGAGAGAGAGATACATGAGGGGCGGACGTTTTCTCGAAATTATGAGAGATTGGATCTCTTCTCATGAGCTTAATGATGTATATATAGAGCTACAGTAGGGAACCTTAGGAGATTTAGAATAAGGCTCCTTAATTAATTAGACTAACTATGGGCCAAACCCACTCCTCTAATTAAATAAATAATATTATGGGCCACCAACATAAATATTATTGCACTCCCTTTTCCAGCCCAAATTACCTTTGAGACTCCAATTATAATTACTTGATTTACCTCTCCACGTTTAAGATATAATGTCTATTAATTAATTTAATTACTGACAATCAAGAATTAATTAATTTATTATTATTTCATCAAAGCTAGCGCTCGTTCATCACATTCTTATTATGCGGAATTGAATCCACCTGCAGGGATTAGCTTAACAATCATTCATGAACTCACTCCGAGGACATCATCAGACTAACGCACATGGTGACCGTAAATATCCTAACAGCACATACTATATATAGTAATATTACCCAAAATAGTAAGAATATTGATCCAGCAAACTGAACCTCACCCAAGTGGATCAAAGTAATATGTGCTACATATATATGCCTGTTTAATATCTTACAAGTTAAGAGAATGCAGTAATTAACCAAGGCCTAGTTCATTTACGATGATCAACATAAATGAACTTCTCCTCTCTGGGATCCTATTCAATGCATAAATGTACTAGTGCAACTAATCAGTCAAGACAAACTGTACAGTTGACACTACATTTGTTCGGATAGGGTGTTCATGTCCATCTAGGTTGTGAACGACTATTCTTGTTTGCAAGCAACTGGTAGAATAATTTTCGGTTCGCCCGATGACGACCCACTCTATCTAGGTGCAAAACAACAGAACGTAGAACTTGTTCAATCTAACATAATTCTCATTCATAAAGGGCAAAAGTGTAACAACATGCAAATTCAAGATTTCAGTATATAACACTAACACCAACAACGTCAAGAAGAAGATCGACCTCCAAGAACCAATCCCCGTCACAGAACTCTAGATGTCCACTACCGAGGTCTTGGACGGAGAAGATGTCCGAATAATGAAATCCGTTCACGGTGACAACGATGGCTTCCTCTCGTCATCCTCCTCGAAGTCCGAGAGTATCGCCAATTCCTGGCTTGGATGAGAGTATCGCCAGTTCCGATAGTATATATGTAAATTGGCTAGAGAATATTTTTAGTATATGTTGCGTTTATACTCAATATATTTTCAGTATATGTCACGTTTTTATTTATAAAACATTATTTAACCACAATTGTGATGTTTGGATTTTGTTTATATTTCTTACTTAATTTTTTATCGACAAGATGTACAACACTGATATGTAAAACATATTATAAGGACTCTCATCAGGATGTTAAAAAAAAATATACATACTATATTAAAATTTTATAATTTTGCTCAACCAAAATTTAGTTTATGCATGGTTTATAACTTGTAACTATGTATATAATATACAAGTAGATATGTACAATTTACGTCTCTGTACCATATAAGTAGATATGTACAATTTATATTTTCGTAATATACAATGAAAAAATCAATCAAGTCAACAATTCTAACAAAATGAGATCAAAGCTTAACGGCAGCATCATAATCTTGTGCAAGGCGAGCATCAGAATGTATTCACTTTATGTTGCGTTTACAATCAATATATTTTTAGTATATTTTTAGCATATGTTGCATTTTTATTTGCATAACTTTTACCAGCTCAATTGCCCTATTTCTCTTGCAGCTCTTGAACACCAATCAGACAACATCACTAGAAAAGTACTTAACAACTAAAACACTAACATACAATACATTGATATAAAAACTATGAAATAAACATTGAAACAGATCGTGAAATCTTCAAATATACCAAATATAAACTATGAATAAACATCAAATAAACAATGAAAAGGATCCTATCAGAAGTATCCATGTGTCGTCGCTGCTTACAAACAAATTTTTATAGCGTCAGTAAGATTGTGCCAACGAAAACATATATTAAAAATATACTGCCTATACACTCAACAAATACTGTCGACATCTCCACTAGCCTGAGCTTCAGGCCTCGCCTTCGTCATATCCAACTTGGCCTCCCCGCTGGGAAGGAGGAGAGGAGGGATGCAGAGCCGCCGGAGTCCATCGTTGTCTCTTAAAAAACAACCGCAGGGATCAAANAAACTCGAAAGCTCCACCACCAACGGCGGCCGACCGGATTCGTAAACTCCATCACTCTCCACCTAGGAGACTTTTGCAGAGAGGAGCTCCTTGCGTGGGCCATCCTCCCGAGGTCGGCAACCACTAGCCTCTCGTCATCCACCCAAACCGTGCGGGCCCTTGTCAAGGTCGAGGCCTTTGCGTTACGAGCTGACGACCTTAATTGAAAGGTTTCACAAAAGTTGAGTTGACCAATTCAGCACAATAGGTAAATCCACCTCATAATTTGGGGAGAGTTGTTTCCATAATAATAGGATTTAGTTTTGGTTAAATCACCATTAAATCCGCCACTTTCCTTAATTAAATATAAATATGACTAAACTTGAATTCTGGTATTTATGCAAATAATTAGAGTAGATTTAGTTATTTTGCTAATAAATATATATGAAGTGTAAACATGTAATAAAAATGATATTTAGTAATGTGCTAGGTAAGTTTCTCAAAGAAAAAATCTTCTCTTAGGAGGGCTCATTTATTTGGAAAGATAGGATAAGATAATTTCAATATTGGAGGGTATGGTTACACTATTGGGAAAGAATTGTTCCAGCGTTTGTTACGACTTTCTTGTAAGATAGGATTGGCACCTTGTTTGTTTGTACGTTTGTTATACATGACAAATGGTGGGATAAAATTGTCAATTGGCTTTTTTTCCCTCGCGTTCTGCCACATTTTTTTAGCAGAATTTTTTTAATATAGAAATTCGAGTAATCGATCAGTAATTTATTATAGAAATTAGGCTTTCTTGGTCGCATCCTCACTCGTCCGGGCTTCTCCTTGATTTTCGGTTTAGTCAATACATAACAAACAATTACATAATCAACATATGACCCGTGCAGGGTCGTACACGAATGATTCTAATAAAGCAATTTAAACTCTACGGTGTCCCACCGTGCGAAAAAATTATTACAACCATTTTCAACCCAAAATATTCTCTGACATGCCCGAGGCTTTCAAAACGCAAAAATACATGCACAAGATAAACCATACATACAGGCCATAATATTCGAACAAAAGAATTATTGCAAAAACACAAACTTTGCAATTCTATAGTATTATGCGTTACGCGTACACAATTATTTCAAGTATGTTCACATAAAACTAATTCCATGTGTACACATAAGTCGAATTATCCCGATGTTGATATCAGTTGTTGGTTCGGTGAAGAACGTTGACTCATATGTGTTAGAATATGGCATTTTATCTTTTATGTAATAGTGTTATTGTGATACACGTTTTATGTACATAGTAGTAGCATTTTAGGTCTTCATTCTTAGCATAAGTATAAATAGGTCAAACTCTAATTTACTTTCCCACTTTTCGTTTTTCAGATTTTATACAGAAGTTGTTTTCCCTTTTTCTCTCTCGTGTTCTTTCTTCTTCTTCTTCTCTAAGATCTCAAATCTGTACTACAGATTTTATCATGGTATCATTCGCCTGGGTTATTTGATCGATTCTCTCTTTCCGCTGCTTTCTATTTTTCGTTTTTTTCTGAAAATCGCAATCTCGCGATTCTGTAGATCTGAAAATCGCATCCGGCGATTCTGTAGTTCTGTGCTCGATCTGCTCCGATCTGTACTTTTATTCGATATTGTACCAGATCTTTGTAGACTTGTATCAGATCTTTGGATATTACGAAGTCTCGATGACGAACCCTACTGATGACCCGATCTCGCCGTACTTTGTTCACGCCAGCGACAATCCTGGTGCCTTGATTGTTGCCGAGCAGTTCACCGGTGAGAACTACGTTTCCTGGTCACGTGCCGTCTCTATGGCTCTCAGTGTTAAGAACAAACTTGGATTCATTGATGGTACACTTTCTGCCCCTAATCCTACTCAGAATCCTATTGAGTCTCTTGCCTGGGTACATGCTAACGATCTTGTTCTCTCTTGGCTTCTAAACTCTGTCAGTAAGGAAATCCGTCAATCTCTTTTATTTTTTTCTATCACTCATGATGTCTGGGTTGAAATAAAAAACCGATATGCTTTATCTAGTGGTCCGCGTGTGTTTCAACTTGAAAAAGCTTTGAATACTATGGATCAGGGTTCTCAATCTATCACACTTTACTATAACTCTTTCAAAAGCCTATGGGATGAGTACATTATTTATAGACCTATCTTTCGATGTCATTGTGGTGCTTTAAACAACTGTACTTGCAATATCTTTGATAGCATGACCACTGCCCAACAGAATGACTCAGTGATGAAATTTTTAATTAGCCTTAATGATTCTTACTCATCACTGAGGAGTCACTTCTTACTTTCTTCTCCTTTACCTGCTTTGTCCAAGGTATATTCCTTGTTACTTCAAGAAGAAAGCCAAAGAAACATCACAACCACTTCTAAAACTTTTGACCCTGTCGCCATGGCTGTTCATTCTAAGTCTAATTTCAATAAACCAGCTTTCAATAAAGATAGAAAGAAACTGAAATGTACTCATTGTGGCTAAAACCATCCCTCTGAAAAATGCTATCAAGTGATAGGTTATCCTGATTATTGGAAAGGTCCTAGAGGTCCTAGGATTCACCCTGATCATCACTCTGCAAACTCTGTGTCTGTGCCTATTCACCCAGCTCAAACAGTTTCTGTTAATGCCACTGTACCTGTTACTACTTCCACTACAAATTCCCTTACTGACAATCTCTTTCATGAGTTTCTAGAGTTTAAAAAGTCATTTGAGAACAAACAGGGAGTTGGAAATATCCACCCTCCTATTGTTGCATCTGCAGCCATAAATCCAGAGCAAACAGGTAATCAACTTAACTCTTCTTTATTTCATTCATATATATGGATCCTTGATACTGGTGCATCTGATCATATGGTGTGTGATTTCAAACTTTTTACATCATATCCTCAACATGTGCATATTAAAGTGAATTTACCTAATGGTCAAACTGCTATTGCAAGTCATATGGGCAACATAAACCTTGGACCCAATCTCATATTGCATAATGCTTTATTTGTCCCATCATTCACATTCAATCTTATATCAGTTTCAAAATTAACTATTTCAAATAACTGTAAAATCAGTTTCTATTCTACTTATTGCAACCTGCAGGAGCTGAACAGCAAAACAATGATTGGTTTTGCTGAAGCTAAAAGTGGCTTGTACCATCTAAAGCTTGACAGCAACAATCATAACTTTTCTTGTAATTCTTCTTTTTCTGATAATGCTAGTGCTACTGTTTGGCACCATAGACTTGGACATTTATCTTTTAATAAACTTGTTCAGCTTCCTTTACCTTTACACAAAACCAATGAAATCAATCATGCACCATGTGATATATGTCATTTTTCTAGACAAAAGGCTCTGCCTTATTCTGTAAGCTCTTCCATTGCTTCTGCTCCTTTTGAATTGATACACTGTGACATTTGGGGACCTTTTTCAGTACCATCCCATGCTGGTCATAAATATTTTCTTACTATATTGGATGACTTCAGTAGAACTACTTGGATTTACCCATTATTGTCTAAATCTTATACCAAACATCACATTATGCATTTTTATAATATGGTAAAAACCCAGTTCCATTCACATGTTCAAAACATCAGAACTGATAATGGTTCAGAATTTTTCATGAAAGATTTTTTTCATCAAACTGGGATTATTCATCAAACTAGCTATGTTGAGAACCCTCAACAAAATGGCAGGGTTGAGAGGAAACATCAACACTTATTGCAAGTAGCTCGAGCAATAATGTTTCATGCCAATCTTCCCTTAATTTTCTGGATTGATTGTGTACTAGTTGCTGTACATATAATAAACAGAACACCCTCATCTGTTTTACAAAATAAAACTCCTTTTGAGATTTTATATAAGAAGCCTGCCACATATGATCATTTTAAGACAATTGGGTGTTTATGTTATGCCTCAACCATTCATTCTCATAGATCAAAGTTTGACAAAAGAGCATCAAAATGCATATTACTTGGTTATCCTCTCGGTTGTAAAGGCTACAAACTTTACAACCTGGATACCAAGCATACAATAATTTCCAGAAATGTGATTTTTTATGAGTCTGTGTTCCCTTATAAAGACCTTTTTTCTACCCACCCCCTTACTGATCCTCTTTTTCCTCCCCCTGATACATACATTGAAAATCCTACAATACCTCAACCTACTATACAACAGCCTACTATCCAACAGCCTGCTATACAACAACCTTCTCCACCATCTTCTACACCACTCTCTGACATTGACTTACCTACAGATACAAATACCACCACCACTATAAATCCATCCATCAGAAGGTCCACTAGACCAAGACAACCTCCATCTTATCTACAAATTTATAAACACTCTTTACCTGCATCTTTGGCCAATGCTTCATTTACTGATTCACAGACTATCACTTCTGGAAACATCCTTCATCCCTTATCAAAACATTTGTCTGTTGACAGACTTCAAGAATCACATTCCTGTTTTACTGCTTCCATTAGTCTCATAAAAGAGCCAAGGTCTTATAAACAAGCTGTTTTAGACCCTAATTGGCAAGAAGCTATGCAACTTGAAATCACTGCTCTTGAGAAAACTAAAACCTGGGTTCTTACTGATCTTCCATCTGGTAAGCATTGCATTGGATGTAAGTGGGTATACAAGGTTAAATACAATTCAGATGGAACCTTAGGTAGGTATAAAGCTCGACTAGTAGCTAAAGGATATACTCAAGAGGAGGGCATTGATTATTTTGACACTTTTTCTCCTGTTGCTAAAATTACCACTGTTAGATTACTTTTAGCTATTGCCTCTGTCAAAAACTGGTTTCTTTATCAACTTGATGTTAACAATGCCTTCCTTCATGGAGATCTTGATGAGGATATATACATGACCCCTCCCCCTGGTTACATTCCTTCAAATTCTAATAAAGTTTGCAAATTGGTAAAAAGTCTATATGGCCTTAAACAAGCCTCTAGACAATGGTTTCAAAAACTTACTTCTTGTTTATTGAATTATGGTTATACTCAGTCTTGTTCTGATTCTAGCTTATTCATAAAAAATAAACCTGGTTCTTTCACTGCATTACTTGTTTATGTTGATGATATTATTCTTGCTGGTGATGATTTGACTGAGATTAATTCTGTTAAGTCCCATTTACATGACTGCTTTACTATAAAAGATTTGGGAAAACTTAAATACATGTTTGGTATTGAAGTTGCTCAGTCTGAAAAA